TGATGGAAATCAGTTCACTTGTGTTGAAGGAATGAATGAAAGGATGAATGACAGAGAAAGTTCTTTTTCAAAAACAAGTTTTAACTTCCTATTGATATTAAATTCAGAAAATGCCTAGTAGACATTTTTATATTCCTAAATATTTTATAACAAATTAATATCTGTAAAGACAATATGTAATAGAATATAGGCCCCACTCAGATAAAATTACTAAAGGATATAGTGGACCCACAGAACAATTTGACAAATAGTTCTGGAAATGTCAACTGAATAGATATAAATAAACATAATTCTAGTTTTAGTCTCTCAGAAGGTTGTTTTGAGATCATCAGCTGCTTAAAATATATAGAAAAATACTGTTTTCACACATCTTTAAGTGAAAATATTTTTTCTTCTCTACACTTTTATCTGTATTGAGCATGAACAAAAGAAGCTTGGCATGTGGCAATTCTTAAAAATTTTATATGTTTACAATGTGGTATGAAAGCACAGTACAGTGCTGCTTATATAAATGCCAACAGCTCTCCTATTTTCCAGTTTTACACCATATTATTGGAAGAAACCCAGGAAGCCATCAAGCTCAGTGCTGTTTCCAAGCACGTCAAGACCTAACCATCCCAGAAATACATGTGCTTTTATTGGTATTCCAAGAGATGACTATATAGCACAGGAATTTATTCCAGCCTCTTCAAATCCTAAAGTCAGAAATTTCATCCAAGCCCCTAAACTGCATTCTGAGAGTGAAACTCACTTCCTCGTCCTGTAACTTTCAGAAACAAAGGCCAAGTACTCCCTTTAATCTGTCCCACAAAGAAAAAGGACTACAGTGGGGCTACACCAACGGCTTCCGTGACACCCTAGTGCTAGACCTGTTTCTGCAGTTCTGGAAAACTTCCCTTTCTAGTACTGGTCCTCATCTCCCCCCACACATCTCTGTGTCAGATTGTCCAGGCCTCAGCCCTTCTCTGTCCACAAGGCCACTCCAGAGCCTGTCCAGTGGTGTGAAATCTGATAAACTACTCAGTACTCAGAGTAAAGTGCTACAGGTCTCCGTTCTGCCTCTGACCAGTAATATAATTACTGGGACCCTGGGCCCAGCATGTAATATCTCTGTATATGAATTTATATCTATATGAACACAACTAAGATTATATGATATCTTAGTCTCTTCAACCATTAAGTATCTGGGCCATTCTCCTACCAACTCCAAGATGGTATCTTCCAAATATTCCAGCTGTATATATTCCATCAAGCACTCAGATTCCTCCATTCATTCATTCATTCACAAACTATTTATTTAGCAGCAGTATGCACTGGGCTCTATGGTAGGCTTTGGGGACACATTGGTCAATAGAAAAAGGCATGGACCCCTGCTTTGTGAAGTATACAGTCTAGTGGACATCAAATAATGTAAGAATTATAATTAATAAACAAGAAAATACATATCAAATTTCAGATGTGCTAAAAGTACTTTGAAACAAAAGAGAGGGAAAAAGAGAGAGAGAGGATGCAATGTGAGAAAATCACAGGACAAGCCTTCTCTGAAGAGATGGCATTTCAAGATTCCAGGAATAGGAAGTAGTCTGACATCCATAGAGCAGAAGTAAGACCATTTTAGACAACATATGTTAAGAACAACATGTGTAGAGGTCCTGAAGTGAGAAAAGTGCTTTGTGTGTAAAGGGGGCTGTTAGATCCACAGCAATGGAAGTGAGAAGAAGCAGAAACATGGCATTTATTTCCTTGCTATATTCACCCAGACATAACATAGAACCTAAATAAATGGTTCCTAAACTTGCCTGTGCATTAGACTATTCTGGTGATCTTCCAAAATTTCCAATGCTCAGGCTACACCCCAAACCAGTAAAATCACCAACTCCGGGGATAGAATATAAGCATCAGAATTTTTTGAAGCTTGTTCTAGTGATTCCAAAGTTCAGACAAATTTGAAAATCACTGAATAAAGCACTAAATCAATTTTAGTGCTCAAGTTCATTTACTCATCTATTAAAGAATGGAGTTCAATGTAATGAAGTCCGTTCTTTTTTTCTTGCTCTGAATTAGATGATCTCTCTCTAATTGCAGATCTGCAGATCATTTTCATCCACTCTCTTCCACAAATCTTTCTCTCCCTTCCCACTATCCTGGGACCCTCATATTCTCCCAGCCAGGCCTGAAACCCTGGAATCATATTCTTCTCCTCACACTGTTCCTATAAATCAAGCAGATTCTATTGAACCAAAGAATCCACAAGGCCCTCTTCCCTTCTCACCTAGTTAACCACTTCCTGCAGCCTCATCCTCCAATCCTGCCCAGATATTTCTGAACTCAGTCCTGCTGCCTATTCAAGCCATACCCACCTTTGAAAGCCCTCTCAAGTACCACCTCCTCCAGTAAGCCTCCCTAATAAGCTCAAATATCTATGACAACTAACCTGTAAAGTTTTAAGAAACTCATAGTCTATATAATTTAGAACTGAATCAGATACTAACATATACTATATGTTGGTCTTATCCCCCCCAAAGATATTAAATAAAAGGAAAAAACATATATTCCATTAATCCTGAATGTATTAAGCATTCACATATTATCTAGTAGTAGCAATGGTAGCACTGGTCTTAAAGGTCATGCAGTGGTGATGGTGGTGGTGGTGGTGTTAGAAGTGGCAGCGGAAGCAGTAACAAGGCAGTGAGAGCCATGCAGTATAAAAGGCCTATGGCAGTCAGGCACTTTCTATACATCATCTCACTCAAACACTGAAACAACCTACAAAATAGTTCTAATCTACCCACCTTACAAATAAGAAAGTTGGAGCTTAGGAAGTTCAAAGAACTTACTAAAGATAGATGACAGGTCTTTCTGGTCCTGAATTTTTTTCCCATTATTCCGTGTTACCTCTGTAACTCCATGTTAAACCTTTCAAAAACTGGACTTATTTTGGAATTCTTTTGCATTTGACATAGACTGAGCAATTGCTTGATTCATATGAATAATTGTATGCGGTGGAGAATTCTCAGTAAGGAAGACAGACTATGGGCATTTCATTTTCACAGACTAAGTAGGGTTCCCTAACGTTAGCACATAAGCAACATATGTGTGCTAAAATATACTGTGGACATTTATTAAAACCATCCTTTCTACTTAAAATTGTCTAATAAGGTAAGTGTACTAGTAGACGCTCCTTTTTCCACCAGCAAGGAACTTGGGAATTTACCCTGGGTACTGAGCTGCCCATGGCCAGCCTGGAAAGCCCAGAGGAACAAATGCTAATTGTGATTCAATAAGTCACATGCTTTAGAAGTTAGTCTATAAAATACTTGAACCATTCAAAGTCAATTCAACATTTCATGTGAGAAAATCCAGCCAAAGGAAAAAACCAAGAAGACTCCATATTTTTCTCCATCTCTTGCCTTAATTTTTTAAAGGCAAACACTGTAATTGACTGTTGATAAAAATCAATATGTCAGTAATACCATAACAGAATTTCTGATCAGGTGCTCGCAGGCAGTCCTGTTAGAAAACAAATTGCTATAATGACAGAGAAAATTATTAGCACCTTTGTGGGGGGTGGGACTCAAACCTGTTTGAAGAAATAGAGCTGATTAGAAACTCAGATAAAAAGGGAAGCGAAATAAGTTATGTCTGGTACTAAGAAAATTAAAACAGACGAGGGTGTTTAAATCCTATGCTGCTAATAAGTTCACTTAAAAAAATTATTTATTTCAAGATAGATTATTTTCCATTATTCATGAGAATAGAAAGAATCTCACAGAAGAGATCACTCAAGAAAGTCAAAGATCTAGAATTTGCTCCTGTTTACTTCGGAAACATATTATTTAATTTTGTTTCTTGTGCTTCGCTTCACTTTCCTAAGCATGATTTAGGCTAGTATTATAATCAGTTTGACTTTCCAGAGCCCTTACCAAGTGCTAGGAGGAAGTTAACCTAGAAATTTGCTAGTTGGGAGATAGTGTGAAAAAAAATACTAAAAATTACTCCTCTTGAGTGAAGAAAAATGGCAGGTCATATATCTCCCCTACTGCCCCAGATCTCTCAAAATGGAGGGAGGAAAAAGGTGTATTTTGAAAGAAAACTAAATCTGTATGGAATAAAAGTGGTAAAATGCACTTCCATAATTTCAAGGAAGTTCTCAGCTTTGACACAAAAGGAGCTAGACTAAGTCATGCAAGATCCTGATTCTTAGCACGCACTTGTGTTGTTAAACACAAATTTACTCGTTACAAAGACTGATCCACACACTAGGCACCAAAAAGGTAGCCTCACCTGTTTTCTAACCCAGAGTCCTGAGAGCAAAAGAAATTTTCTCTTCCAATAACCGAAGCAGTTCACACATTTGCAATAATAAAACCATTTTTAGAAGGTGAATAACTTCACAATTTTTCTTTTTTCAATCTAAGATTCTGTAACTAAACAGATGGGAGTCAAGATCTCTTGAGAGCGACTATGTGTCAGTGCATTTATAAACAGCCAAGGGGCCAGTGTTTTATGTTGGCAGCTAAAAGTCAGCCATTCTAAATTAAGGTTTGCAAGTGCAAATGTCTTCATTCTCCTTTGTTTTCCCTTTGGCTTAAGGGAGATTTAAACTTAGTAGCCAGCTGGTAACATATACAACAACCACAATATATATATATATATGCAATAACACTTAAAACACATGTGTGAAAACTTGAATCAAGTAACATTAAAGGTAGAGTCAGCTGAATTATTATTATCTTTTTCCCTAATGTAACTGTGGTTTGCAAAACAGTTATAATAAGAAGCACTCTTTTTCAGCTTCTAGGAGAAATATACAGACAACTGAGCTTACAATAAGAACATATCAAGACATTAACCACTTAGTAAATGAAATTGCCCCATGAGTATGGTGTTTAAGGGGGCATCTGTATGTGTGTGAATGCACTCTCTATGGTGGCTTATATATGACACAGTTTTTTACACTGGAAAACAAAAATATGTGGCCAGATAGAAAGGATCCTTACCTTTTCAAGTATAGCATTGCCTTGGTGAGGATTGATGTTGTGTTGGCTTATTTCTCTCTTGTATTTATATTCATAAACTTGATCAGTGATATTAATCAGAAGAGTTGATGGGCTGAAGACCAGTTTTCCACAATCATATACAGTTCCACTTTCAATATCAGTTGGTGCTGTAGCATATCGTAAAATTAATCCCATTACGAGACCTAAAATAAAGAATAAATAACTGTACTGGAGGAACGTAATCTAAAATGTTCATTACTCCATGCTTTCAAATATATGATTTGGAACTTATATAGGTGGCAGGAGAAAGGATCATTGCCTGGCTTAGAAAATTGTTTACCCGTCCATTGGCACCAATTCAATAGATTTTTGTTGTTCAGTCACTAAGTCATGTCCGACTCTTTGTGAATTGATATTTGCAATGGACACTTAGTACCTCTCCTTTTTTCCTTCCTAATGGACCCACAGATTTTGGAGAAAAGAGCTACCCACGTCTTTTTTCCATCCAATTGCTTCAAGAAAACCTTGGCTCTGTGACAGATACTGAGTAATCTAATCAGTCAGAAGATGGAATTCCCCTGGAGAAAGTTTCTGGTCCATAGATCAGCACATATCTGAGAGGCCCCATCAGACTAATAGGCAGCACTTATGTGCTATGGTTAGGGGACAAGTCTTACACTGTCTCTCCCTTAGGACATGATCAAGGCAATATGTTTCTCCACATTTTGCTGGCAGGTATCTTGTCACCCTGAGGGGATACAGTCCAAGGACGCAGTCAGAACCCCCAGGATCATAGGACTGAGATATAGACAGAACCTAGGTCTTGAATAACTTCACTGAGCCCTGGATCAACCTATCCCGGAGCCTAATCTGAGTGTGTGTTCAGGTGCTCAATCATATCCAACTCTTTGCAACCCCATGGACTGTAGCTCACCAGGCTCCTCTGTTCATGGGATTTCCCAGGCAAGAATACTAGAGTGGGATGCCATTTCCTACTCCAGGGGATCTTTCCCACCAAGGGAGTGAACCCGTGTCTCCTGCATTGGCTGGAGGATTCTTTACCATTGTGCCACTTGCGAAGTCCTACCCTAATTCTAGACTTATTATGTGACATAACACATTTTCTAATTTTTTTCAAACTATTTAAAATCAAATTTATCCTTACCTGCAGCCAAACACATTTTAATGACACAATATAGCACACAATAAAGAGTTGGACTCAAGTGACAATCTTTGACTTTTAAGTTTACAAACTGTTAGGATGCTCATGGTAATCTGATAAATGTGAATTCTCTTAATATTATGGATTTATTAACAAAAAAAGCAAAGAAACTTTAGAGGTGTACACATTCCTCAGTTTAAAATTAGAACTGATGTATTTGTTTTAGGATAAATTCACAGTTTACTCTTTAAAAAAATCAGATGCTGGGGGTTTTGCCATTCTTCTGTGAATCAAGTCATTTAATTGCCTTTCATTTATTTAATAACACGTTAAATAAATGAATGTGCATATTTGGGTACATATTTTGTGCCAGACATTTACAGATTTAAAATAAAAATACAGTTCCCAGTCCTACAGGAGCTGAAGTTTGTGAAATGAAGATCCATAAGCAAACAATTATAATACAACATGACATGTGCTATGACAGCTGGTAAGGATTCTGTGCTATATGAGTATAGAGAGGAGACACTCCAAAGCCCTCTGAATGATGCAAAGCTTTAGATGAATCTTAAAAGGTCACATAAGATTTGTCCAGATGAGCTGAATCAGGGAATGAGTTGGGATCCAGGCTGCACATGTGGGTAGCAGCACGTGAGTAACAGCAGAGACAACTAAACGTTCCCTAGAATTTTGATTCACCAGTGCATAGAATAGTTGTCAGGAAGTGGCTGCTCACCCAGAGATTGTGTTTCTGGTTGTCTTGAGTTTGGATGGGTTCTCACCGATAGATTATAAGCAAAAGTGATGTGTGCCACAGTGTTGAAGAAATAGGTGAGCTTTCCCCCTTCTCTTTCGCCATCTATCAGATGGATGTGGAGGGGAAAAAACAGTACTATAGGTAGACAGAGTCGCGACACTGAGGAAGCCTGAGTCCCTGAGACACCAGGTGGGAGAAAGCCATCCACGAACCAGGAAAACCTGAACTGGACCATTGAGTGAAAAGTTAACTTCTCTTGTGTACTCACTGAAATGTGAGTGCTTCTGTGTTAACAGTCACTAGGATAACCTAACAATATACCATATAAATACAAAGGAACTTAAGAAATCTGATGGATTTACGAAACCAGCAGTGGAGTAAAAAGAGATTAAGTAGAAAGAGAGGGAGAGAGAGAGAAACTAGACCACAGGGGCCAGGTTATAAAGAGGCTCCTCTGTCCTGCTAAGGAGTTCTTACTTCTAACCCAATGGTAATATGAAACTGTTGTAAGATTTTAGGCAGGACAGTAAAACAGTCAGATTTTCATGTAAGAGCCATCACTCTGGCAATAATGTGGAAAACTAGAGTGAGAGGTGAGAATGAAAGCAGATTTCTGTCAAGAATATTTTTATCTTACTTATTCTGCTTCACTATTTGGTCTACTCCCCCATAACAGTGAGAAATACTTAATGCTAACTTTTGTTAGAAAGAAAACAAATAAGTGATGGATTTGTAACCACTATGAGCACTTGACCCATCACAGAGTAGTGGGCAGCCTTCCACGTGCAGTGTCAAATGACTGTAATAAAACTAGTCAGGAAAGATAAGGGAAGACACACCATATACACTGCACGTGGTTTAGGATGCCTGTGTAAGAATACCATTTTTTCCCAACACTCTAATGAAATCTTAGGGAGAATTTATTCTCTAAATGTTACTTGGCAAGTACCATGAATGATACTATGACCTCTTAAGCTTTCTACTTAGTGGAATATATAGAAGGGAAACAAGATACTGTGTGCACCTGAATAGACAGAAACTATATTGTTGATAAGGTCTGAAATTCCCAAAAGGTGAGTCATTTTATTTTTGCAATGCGCTTTTGGTGCAATAACAGGGAGTAAACATGAAGTGTCCATCATTCTTTCCTAAGCAGGGAAAACAAGTATTTGTCATAATAACAAGTGCTCAGTACCTGGGTTTCTGTGGTTAAATTCATACAGTGAATCAAAATCTAAATGGCCATGCCCGGCGCTCTGTGCCATCACGGGGTCCAGCCTTTGGGAAGAGGCTCACTGGAGGAACTTAAGAAATCAGCCAACGGCCGATCTCATCAGGGGCACTGAGCAGGCCTCTGAAGGGCCACCAGGGCTCAAAGACTGTAAGAGCCTTGTCAAACCTTTTTTAAAACTGCACTGAAGCTTAAACCCTTTCCTCCCCAGCCTCCTGTCCTTCCCTCTCTCCACAGGAGATGGATGGGGCTGCATCAAGGCCTGATAGCTGGCCCAGCATCCTCAGTCTCCCTCCCCATTTTTCCTCAAAGGAATTTCCCCTAATAAATCTTTTGTACAACTAATCTCTTTCCAGCATCTGCTTCTTGGAAGACTTAAATTAACACACTAAACAAAAGACCCTGGCCCTCCTTCTCCTCCACCCCAAGGGTTGAGAGGAGTCATCTTAGCCTAGGATAAGGATCAGTGGGGGAGCTGCAGTTTCACTATGAACTTGGTTAACAAACACATCCACTCATCTGTGTGCAGTAGCAGCAACTAGAAAATCCTTAATGTTGGAGGCCAGACCACCTACTCACAGAGCTTCACAATGCTTTTGACAGCCACTCACAGCTTTAGCTGTATGCTGACACAAATGTGGAGTCTTGAGTGAACGCACTCCTGCCCAGTATTATAAGAGAGTAGGTGACGGATAAAGAAGGGTTGCTAATAAGAAGAAAATGCTAATGAACGGGGATCGTTTTTTACACCCCCACAAAGATACAGGATGAAGAAAGTATCAGCCACTTGTATGCAGAAGAAGGAAAGAGGAGACTATCTACCATGACTTATAAATAACAAACCAGCACTCTCTTTGGTAAGTCATGAAGCTGACCCTACCTGCCCAGGGAGAAAAGAAGGCAGCCTCTCCCATGAAAGCAATATCACCAACACATGTGCACACAGCCCTGGTCCCAGGTTTATCCTCACAAGTATGACACTTTGCTGAGCTCTGTCACCTGGCAGGCTGGTGGCATTACCTTCTTCAAATAGAAACTCTAGTCCAAATGTATCCCCTGGGTCGACAAGTCTGAGCTGACAGAGGTGGGAACCTGTCCTCAAGTGAGCCCTGGCCTCGCTCCAGCAGCATACAAACCCGCAAGTCAGAGCTGGACAACAGTCCTCATCCCTAAAGTACTCACAGTCCTACAAAGAACATCCCAAGTCCCAGAGGGGAGACCTGGGCTCTGATGTGGCCTGTAATAAGTTTCCTAATCTTTGAATACTTACAGTTTGAATCACACACTCTTGGGCCCAATTTTATATAAAGACATATATTGTTCAGCATTGCTATGCAGACTTTGGCTTTGTCACCACTAGACAAGGAGACAGTTTAGGGCAGAAGCTGAGCTATTTCTCATCTCTTTTTTTTCCTCTCAAAATGTCAAACACTTTAGGTAGTTACAACCCAACTTTCTCCAAGTTCACAAACTCCCTTGGATTCAAGAAGGAAAGGATCCTCTGAGTTTATGTACTCAGTCAGGGACCAGCATTTTGAAATGTCACATGTGAGGAGCATCACACCAAATGCTGTGATGTTCCCGTCTTGACAGAGCTTGCTTGCTGTATAATTTTCATAGCAGATGCCTGACACACAGTGGACATGGTGATGTTTGTGGGAGAAGAAAGGAGGGAAGGAGAAAAAAGAGCCTCAAGAGCACTCAAAATGAGAAGTATTTAGAAATGTGAGCTTCATCTCTCTGAACTGACTCTCCACTCTTCACATTGAAAATATGAGAAAACCCCACTTCCTCCTTCCCTCCTTCTGCTTTCATGCTATAGACATGACAGGCATTGCTCTAGGACTTGTAGGAGTTATAAAATTGAACAAAATGTGGCCCTGATCATAGAATATTAAAATATTTTAATCCTATCTTCTGCCCAGTCCTGTGATCCTAATTTCTGGTAAGAGGAAGGTACAACAGGTGTTTCCTAAGTGTCTTCTTATATTAAGCCTGCATTTCATAACCAGTCCCCCTGAATCTTACCGACAGTCATTCTACATGATGCTGA